TCTCGGCGGGTTGGGCCGTATTCTCTTTTATCATCAGAACTCGGCCTGGTAATGATAAAACGGCCTAGTAAAATGGACATTTGTTCATTGATTGTTATTTTGCAAAGTTTATTTGGAGAGCCGTTCAGTTTTCTTTTGGTTTATATATATATTCATACTAGCATATCTCATATTTTTTATGATTGGCTTCAGGGAGTCGTAAACAAAAAGAGCAAACCAATACTTCTTGGAGCTTCTGCCTTGTGTTAGGCTTTATGGTTGAGTAGGAATGATAAGGTTTTTTTTGACAAATCACCTACTGTTACTTATATGCAGGTCATTTTCAAGCCAACATATTGGCTTCGTCTGTGGGCACAGTTACAAAAGTGTGATGAAGATGGAGATTTCCTAATTGTTGCATGTCGTAAGCTTGAAACAACGATTATGCAACTGTTTGCCAATCATGGATGGGGATTTACCAATAGACTGGAATAATATTATTTTGTCTAGTTTGGTTTCCTTTTTTACAGAGTGCTAGTTTGTAATAATTGGTTGTAACTCTTTTGAGTAAAGGTCGGGATGTTATTTCATTCCATTATTAAAAAAAGTAAACTGCGGAGAACAGAGCACTTTCGTTGTTTGTACATTTCGAGCGTGAAATAATCCGTTCAAACAGTGGAACATCGTAAGTTTCTTTCCTTGCATAAATGGAACATTGTACAACAAAAATTTATTGAAATATATAGCGATCTAGGGAAGAAGATGATCACTGGACATTGAGGATGACAAGAGTAGAGAGATCACTAACCAATTCCTCCTTTTCTTATTGAAGCGTGAAATTTCGTAGCTCCATAGCAATGGCGGCGACGGTTTCAGAACATAATATACGGTAATTTCATAGACCGCCAAGCAGCCAGCCACGGAGCGTCCTCGCGGCGGCGGCGGCGGCGAGAACGGGGAACTGGCCGGCGACGAGCGACGTCACGGCGAACGCCGCACCGAGTAGCCACAGGAGGAACGCGACGAGGACGACGTAGAACTCAACCTGGCCAGTGCAGGCGGCCGTCAGCAGGTGCAGGAGGGCAACGACGGCGAGCAACATGAGCACGCGGCCGGAGTCGAGGAGGAGCAGACGGCGGCGGCGGTGGTAGCGACCGGCGGCGGCGAGCAGCTGGGCTCGACGCCGAAGGCCCCGCCGCTGGTCGCCGCGCAGGAGGTAACGAATTGCCCGATCCGCCATCATCAGCTTATGATGACTTTGGTTTGCTTTGTGTGGGTGGCATATGCACCTATCTTCTTCCGCTTTGTATTTATAGATCGCGTACAGTACATGTACATTTTATTTAGTCGCACGTACACATTTTAGTCACGGGTGAGCTGTAAGCTGTTCGGTATGTGACATGCCGATATCGTGACGTGCGCCGGGGCAAGTATCGTAAACTAATCTCACTGACGCTAATCTCCAAAAGGCGAAATTTTAGGGAAGGCGCGTCAAAGCTGTCTGGACGGGCCCGGCCCTATCCGAACGAACCGAATCGAATCCGAGACTCGTTCGTCAGAGGACTTTCTTTTTTTTTTTAGAGAAATCAGAGGACTTTCTACGGGTACATCACCATTATTTCACGTCTGTCCATTATCATGAATTCCTAAATCACGGCGTCTCTTAACAATAATGCCTTTAAAAGCCAAACGTACTATAATCATCGCAAACATACAAAAATTCGGTGACTTTGAAACCAACTCTCGTACTATCTCAAAATCTAAGAAACTACGTAAGTGGTCAAACCAAACATAGATCAACTTCTCTCTACCTCTAATAATAATAATAATCTCTTCTCTACTATTATAAAAATTAAAGATGTTTTTACCGATATTTTGAAATTAAATATGTTTTTACCGATATTTTGGTACGTCATCCATATTTGAGTTGGTTTTAAGTTCGTTCACTTTTTAAAATATAGATCCGTTTTTTAGTCGAATTTTAAGTTCGTTTGCTTTTGAAATACAAAAGCAGTCGTATAGAAATGTCTTTAGAATAACTCGCATGCTAACTTGATATGAAAGCCAAACTCCTAATTACAGCTCATGATTTTCTAAAAAAAATATCTAAGCGAATTCCCACAGTGTTTTTCATATCATAGCTAAAACCTATTACAATAATAAGATTAAAAAAAACATTCACCCGTTGTAACACACGGATATTTTTTCCCTCCTAGCTAAACCATAAAACAATAATAAAATTAAAATAGCATTCACCCTTTGCAACGCACGGGCATTTTTTCTAGTAGTAATAGTAGTAGTAGTGTAATAATAATAATAATGTGAAGTAAGCGTAGCTTAACTAGTTAGATTTCTTGCAGTGGAAACAGCCTACCCAAGTTCAAATTCTAGACTTGACACGTAATAATAATAATAATGCTTACAGTGAATTATTCTTTTAGTAGTAAGCGATGTACTCGTCGACAGCAAGACACCCATGGTGACTTTGTCAATTTCAATATATACCGGCTCAATTTTTTAGAGGTGCTCATAAGATAGGGTGTACATGTTGTGGGCATCTACGTTTGTACCATGTTTCTAAAAAAATAATAGTGAAATTTGGTGGTGTTTATTTTAACAACAAATCAAATACTCCATTCTTTAGAACTAGAACGGGTCTATAGCCTAGCAGTTGCAGCACTCTAGTAGTACTTACCACTGTACTAGAACTTAGTAGCACTTGTCAATGTATCATAACTCTAGTAGATCACTGTACCAGATTTGGGTTCGACTCCCCCTATCCCTTGGGGGCAAATTTTTAGAGTTGATTTAAAAGAGGTCACTAGTTGGTCCCTTTGTCAAACCACGTGTTACAAAATGACCAATGGTGGAAGAGTCCTGGTACGTGGGACAAGGGTTTCAAAGTATGGGTTAAGACCCCGAACAATAGGCGGATCCGTGTGAGGGCTATGGTTTATGGCTTTTCTCGACTGATTTTGGCTAAGGTTTCTTCTTAACTTGAAAAGCCATAGTGCGATCTGTTCCCAGTTGATTAAGTATTTTTAAAGAACACGTCAACATCTTAAAGTTAGTTTGGTGTGGTGAGGGAAAGTGGGCCGGCATGGGGATGGTGTGGTGAGCACCTCCTCAAGCTCCTATGTCGTCACGGGTTCCATCCCTTGTTTATCAACCTCCTGCGGCGAGGCAGCCGCTCGGAGTTACGAGGATGGTGGACAGGTAGACGAGCTCGAAGTAGCTTGCCGGCAACCCCCACATTGCTCCACTTGGTTGGGAAAAGAAAGAGTTGAAAGAAAGATAGGGGAAAAGAAGAGTGGGTACTTACATGTGGGTCCTACAGTAGCCCTATGCTAACTCCACAAGTCTGACCACGGTCAATTTGTCACGTCAGCATAAACCATGTTCCAAATCACCGAATCGATTTGCACTGGTTTTTGAAGTTGGAGAATGCAACGTATCCACTTTTACAGTTTAGGATACGATTCGACTGAGGCCAATAGTTGAGAAAGGTGAAATAAACTTATTCCTACTCTATAGGGGTAACACAAGTGGGCTATAAAGTGGGCATTGTGAAATGGAAGGAGTACCGAGCTGAATCATTAGCCCAATTTAAATTCTTCTCCTCCTCACAAATTCCTTTCTCTCCCTCCGTCCTAAAATAAATGCAGTTTTAGCACTATTCATATTCAACGTTTGACCGTTCGTTTTATTTGAAAAAAGATTATGATTAGTATTTTTATTGTTATTAGATGATACAACATGAATAATACTTTATGTGTGACTAATTTTTTTTAATATTTTTCATATTTTTTTTTAAATAAGACGGATGGTCAAAGCGCTAAACATGGATATTTTATGACTGCACTTATTTTGAGACGGAGGTAGTAACATATTTGTCGTTGAATTGCCAACGGATGGTCCAGATTTATCATAAGTGGGCTGCTTGCTAAGAAGATTGCTTGTCTGGTTGGGCCGTTCTCTATTTGCTCGGTAGCGACAACGCAGCCCACTAAACTCCAAAGAACAGAGTACTCTCATTTCAAAAGGAAAAAAAAAAAAACAAACAAACAAAAAAAAAGAAGGGATTGTCTATACATAAATCTTGCAAATTCTGGACCACCCGATTACTTTAAGATTTGTGCAAAGAAACCAACCCTAAAAACCTCCTCTCCTCTCCTTTCTCCCGATACCGCGCCGCCGCTCCCAGTTTCGCACCGCGCCTCCGCCTCCGCCTCCGCCGCCACCGCCCCAGCGTGCCGTCCCCCGGCCTCGCCGGCTGGCCAGAAGGCCTTAACGGCGCCGGCGAGGCCCCCCGGCCGACCTCCTCCTCCCTCCCTCTCCCCTCTCCTCCCTCCTCGGCGAGATGCCCCCGCCGCCAACGCCGCCCACTGCCATCCTCCATCCCCGCGGCTTCGGCGCCGCTGCCGGCGCCTCACCGTCCGCCCGATCCGCCGCCCACCGCCGGGCCGCCGCCTCCCATGGCCATCCCTCTAAGCCCGGCCACCTCCCCTTTCTTCCCCCCTCCCACCCCAACCCCAACCCGCCCCGGGACCCTAATTCGCCGGCGCCAGAGAAGAAGAGGAGGTCGCCGGAGTTAGAGAAGAAGCACCTCGAGCACGAATCGCGAAGCACATCCGGTGATTCAAAATTTGCAAGATTTGGGTATGTATTTTCTGTCGACAGATGCTTAGCAATTCCGAAAAAAGAAACACAATACTATGAAATCTGTACATTTCCAACATAAAATCGGCCCAAACAACGGAACACCATAAGGGCATGTACAAAGGTAGAGTCAGATATGAGCTCTATGTTATCTAGAGACTAGCATCTTACAACAGTTAGAGGCAATATGGTCTCTAATCATTAATGCATAAAAATACTTTTTCTTACTCTTCTTTCCTTTCTTTTACCACTATACAACAAAATTTGCTCTAATAAATGCTAAGAGTCGACTCTGAGCCGTTGTCATGCATAACAACCATATTTCTTTCTCTTTCTTCCATGTCATCAAATTTACTTGCATGGCAATAGAGAGACCACTAATAAAGATTGTTGTACATGCCCTAAGTTTCGTTTGATGGAGAACTCGTCTTGGAGGACAAATATGAGCTGAAATTTATTGAACTATACTGAAAAAAAGATGATGTTTCGAAAGCATAACATGTAGGGAGAATGCAAGGATGCAATACACGCAATCCGTACTCAACTCCAGAGCAAAAGCACGGAGAAGAAGATGATCACCAAGCAGGTGATCACCGAGCTCCTTAGCAATGGTGGCAGCGGCGGCTGCGAGAACGGGGAATCGGCCGGCGACGAGCGACAGCATGGCGAGCGCCGCGCCGAGCAGCCACAGGAGGAGGGCGACGCAAGGTTCGGCGCCGCGGATGCAGCCGGACGATGCTCCGCGGCCGGTGGCGAGCAGGTGCATGAGGATGACGGCGCCGAGGAGCATGAAGACGCGGCCGGAGTCGAGGAGCAGCTGGCGGCGGAGGACGGCGACGTCGGCGAGGGCTCGGTGGCGTTGCTGGTTGGCTAGTAGGAGGTAGTGGTGCATCGCCCAATCCGCCATCGGAGGCAACTTCTTGGGTGTCTCAGTGTGTGTGGCTGTCTTCTAGGAGTACTTTTCTCTGATGCACTCTATTGGTCTCTTCTATTTATAGCACTCGTAGTCGTAGTCAACCACAATTCACAAGTACACAAGAAAAGCAGGAATTGGGAGGCTAAGAAAGCATAATTCAAGAAGGCATGAATTCGGCGAAAGCAGATTTCAAGAAAGCAGGAATTGGGAGGCGAAAGCAGATGTTGATGGGCAGTGACGAATCCTGGATTTTTCCTCTGTGTGTGCCACTTTACGGAGGTTTTTGGAGTTGAATTTGAAGCTCTAGCCTGATCTAGTGGCAGTTGCATTACTTTGGATTTGGACTGAAGTTGGATCCTAAGGTGGAATTGAAGAAGAATTAAAAAACACCAATTACTATTCATTTCTGCATTCTTCATTTTATTCTTCCTCCTATAGTTTCAGAGTTCCCCATCACCATCAGAAAATGTGAAGTCTTGGACAGGGACTTAGGCGAAGCAGTATCTGAATTCAATGGTGCCCGCTGAAGAAAGGAAGAATGCCTATGTTCCTCCTCATATTTGAATTTGACTGATTCGATTTGATTTCAATCCAAAATAACATGTATTCAGTGTTTCGAAGTTTGAACTCTCATTGATTTCACTAATTCCCATTGTATTTAAACAGTGAATGAGGGGAGTAAAAAGTATAAACATCTTAAAAGCATAAACTAGCAAACGCAAGAAAAAAAAAAGAAGCCTTAAAAAATTTATACCTTTTTGTGTGAGGCATAGCTTAAATTAGTTAGGTTTCTTCTATCCAATCGAGTTAAAGTACTATACTAATATGTGTGCTTGAATTTACGATTGATTATTTTATCAGTGATAGTATATTTGACATGGGTGCTCTTATTTACGGTTAGTTATTTTTTCAATGGTAAGCAATGTCTGCAAAATAAAGCAATAGTTTAGTGGTATTGTAGATTTTTATTTGTTCACTTTTTTACAAATCGCTCAGACATGCTATCTTTTCTAATCATTTTGTAAGTTTCAAGCCGTAAAATTTTATTCCTGCAATCGAGTTTTTAAAAGACCATCATCCAAAATTCCAATTACCTATCCGTTTGGTAGAGTTTCAACTCCTAAATTTAACTCTAAGAGTAGGGCCTAGAGTGTAGTTGTAGAACTGTCTAAAATCCAGCTCTACTTCCTTGTTTTTTTTACTGTAAGAGCATTCCAATCAGTATAACTCCTTTCTTCAATGGAGCTAAAACTGTTTGGTTCAGCTCCAGCCTCGAAAAAGATGAAGCTAAAGTTACGGCTGTACCAAACGGAAATGAACCGCATTATCATCAGATATCCGACTCCAACCCACCACCTGTCTGCACATCCGAGTCACTTGAGAGTTGACATCCGAGTCACTTGAGAATTGAGAGAGGCCATAACCCCTCGAGGCCACGAACCCAGAAAGAAGCCCAGCCCAACACGAACGCGAACTTGATCAGCGGGGCGAACGTGAACGCGAACTCGATGCCTCGTCTTGTCTCATCAAGATCTCCCTCCTCTAATCCAAAATCCTCCAGTCCTGTCGAAGACTTCTGATCGCCTTCAATTCGCTGAAAGCAATTGGGAACAAGTCAGACCGAAGCATTGGTGGCGTAAATCTCCAGGTTTCAAATCACCCAACAACCAGGATCGCATTCAATCTCGAAGAGAGAAGTTCCTGAAGCATATGGATGGTAAATGTATTCGCTGTCTGAGCACCAAACATCAAGTTTCTGCCTGCACAGAACCCATCCGCTGCTGGTTCCGTATGAACTCGGGTCATCTGGCTTCAAACTGTCGCAAGCGCCCAGGCTATAAAACCCCGCTTAACCCTCCTGTTCTCTCCACAGCAAACTTCCCAGAACTTGCTCCCCTCCACTTCCCCCCCAAATCCCTCTCTGCTCCTTCTGCCATGGATGATCTCACTGCTCGACCCCTGCTTGACTCTGTAGTCATCTCTGCTACCGGTGAAATCGAGAGGCACAGAGAACGTTTCTCTGCCCGCTCCCTGGTAGCCTGGCAAGTTGGGGCCCTTGGGGACAAGGTTGAAATTGGAGTGTTTGCTGATGACATGCGTTCTGCCTTCCACATCAGGAGAGCTGACATTCAGTTCACCAAATTCCACCCCGAAGTTTTCTTCATCACCTGCTCAAATCAAAGTGATCGTGATGCCATCCTCCGTCAGCCAAGGCTCACTGCTCCTTCTGGCAGGGTATACCTTTTCCGCCCCTGGGATGAAAGCCTGCATGGCATCCCAGCTCGCTACCGCTACCGTGCCCGGCTCTGCATTGAGGGCGTTCCCATGCACAGGCGAACTGATGAAGCGGCGGCGAAGGTGATTGGCCGCAAATGTGCTATCCACTATGTGGAGGAGTACTCTAGGCGCGGCAACTACAACCGCACCTATGACATGTGGGTGTGGACGGGCGAGCCAAGGGCCATTCCCCGTGGTGGCACCTTCGCCATCACTGACGCCGATGAGGAAGGACTGCCCACGGACATCCCCTTGCCAGAGCTAGATCCCCTCCGCAACCCCCTACCTTCCGAGCCAAAGAAGGGCTGGACCTACAATGTCCTGGTCCACGTTGATACTCTAGAAGACCTCCACACCCGCAAGGCTCGTGCTTACAAATGGGACTATGAAGTTCAGGATGATGGTATCCGCTTCAAGGAGTACCCTCTCCCCTGCAGAGCTGAGCCAGACCTTGCCCGGGGCCCGACGATGACGATGATGATAGAGAGGACCACTCCAAAAGCCGTCATAGAAGCCGTTCACTCTGGGACAGGATCAGTGGCTGCTCTTCCGGTCGGAATCGTGAGCCAGACCGGCGCGATGGCCAGTGCCGCGACCAGGAAAGAAGGGGAAGATCGCGAGACAAGGAACGATATGACCATAGAAGCCGCTCCCACCATTCTTGTGAACCAAGCGAGGTGAGGCCTCCTTTTCCCTCCCAGTCTGATTCTCGTGTAGATCACACGCCTGTTTCTCCCCTCTCATCCTCTACCCCTGCTTCGGCCTCTCCATGCAAACTCCCAACCACCCTCCACAACCCGAGTCCAGATGGAGATGCTGCTGCTGTCTTGATTGTCACCTCTGCGTCGGCCCAGACTACTCACCAGGCTGATTCTCTCCTGTCTTTGCAGGGTCGAGAGGATGTGCTCGAAATCCTGGAGAGCCATCTCGATCCCATGCTTCATGAGGCGGCGGTGAATCACTCTATGTACTCTCCGGATACAAACTCTCCTCGTGTTTCCTTCCCTGTTTTTGTGACATCCTTTGCAAGACCGGCATCGGCTCCAACTCTGACACCTCTGGCTGCAGCAAAGGATTCACAGATCACTGAGTTCATCAATGACATCGCAACGTCGATCCAGCCACCTCTTCTCCCAGCTCCGGATGTGAATGTGAGGAAGCCTTCCCGCGTTAAGGTGAAAATCCCTGTCATCGCCTCTGCTCAGCGTCACAGTGAACGGCTGCTCTATAAACGACGTGCAAATGCAAAATTTGAAAATTTCACCCAAGAAATTCTTTCAAAAAAGTTCGGTATCATGAATGATTCTGCTTCTTTCGATGATAACGTCAAAAAGTTGTATTTGCAGCGATACAAGAAGCCGCTCTCCCCAGCTTCACTGAAGACAATCGCTGATCTAGTGGAGAAGGGAGGATGCAAGGCCATCAGGCTGAAGGCATCCAAGAAGGCATCTGTGGCGCCACTGTGGCTGACTCTTGCCGACTAGAAGTAGAAGCTTTTGCTCATCGATGACAAGATATCTTCTACTGTTAAAGACTTAGCTCTTCAGATGTACTTGTCCTTTAGATTGCTGCTATCTGTGCACTATATTGCTTGCTGCTTCTCCTGCCTACTATGAATTAGAGTTGCTGATGAGATCTACCCCCTACCCCCTCTCTGGCTGTGTTTCTTCCAGCTGCGCTGGCTGTGTTTCTGCCAATTGGGCTGTGATAGTAGACCATTTACTCTATGTCGCAGGATAATGTGTATCTGTTCAATTGGAATGTAAGAGGCTTGAATGTCAAGGCCAAGCAAGATTTCGTGAAAGTCTGTATTCAACAACATAGCGCTACTATTGTTTGCTTACAAGAAACCAAGCTTGCTGTTGTGTCTGACCAAATAATTCTAAACACTCTCGGCCAACGTTTTGCGCGTCAGGTTGCTGTCCTACCAGCTGAAGGCACAAGAGGTGGAGTGATTCTTGCCTGTGATGACAACTTCTTTTCAATCTCTGATGTTCATCTGGGACGTTTCTCTGTCTCTGCAACCATAACTATGCGAGAAGAAGCTCAACAATGGTCAATTATAGTGGTTTATGGGCTGCAATTAGAAACTGAAAAAATTGCTTTCCTTGCTGAATTAGAAGGCCTTCAATCCTTAATGAAACCGGCCTGGCTCATCATTGGAGATTTTAACCTCATTTATAAAGCTTCGGACAAAAACAACGATCGCTTAAACAGAAGAATGATGCAGCGTTTCAGGGGACTCATAGATAAAATCCAAATTAAAGAGCTGAATCTCCCAGGTCGGCGCTTTACTTGGGTAGGTGATGGTTCAAACCCCACTCAAACCAAAATTGACCGTGCTTTTGCGACTACGGACTGGGATTCCTTGTTTGCAAATTCATGTCTTTATCCTCTATCCTCAGCGTGTTCTGATCATGCCCCCATTTTCCTTGTTGGAAATGAACAAAGGAAAAATTTTCCAAATTTCAGATTTGAATCTTTTTGGCTCCGTATCCCTGGCTTCTTGGAGGAAGTCCAAAGTTCCTGGCAAAAACCAATTCTTGCCACGAATAGTCTCGTGATTTTGCGTCTGAAACTTCGTCGCCTAGCCCGTGACCTTAGAAGATGGAGCCGCTCTCAGGTAGGGGACATTAAACTACAGCTAGCAATAGCATCGGAAGTCATCCTTCGTCTAGAGATAGCTCAAGAAACAAGACTGCTGAGCGATGGTGAGCGTCACCTTCTGTCAAATCCTAAATCAAGATTTCTGGGCCTTTCAGTCCTTAATAAAATACAAATCAGGCAAAGATCGAGATTAACGTGGCTCAAAGAAGGAGATGTAAACTCAAAATTCTTCCATATCAAAGCAAATTCAAGACGGAGAAAAAATTATATCCATTCGCTCCAAACACCTTCCGGAATAGCCATCTCATCAAGACAAAGAGGAAGAGCTTTTCAGGTTCTTTAAAGATAGACTGGGGACGATCTCTCCAAGGACAGTAAGCCTAAACTGGCCCCGTTTGAACCTACCCGTCTTGGATCTCACCGAGTTAGAAGAAGATGCCACAGAAGAGGAATTAAAATGAACTGTCTTTGAGTTACTCCTGAAAAGGCCCCTGGACCAGACGGGTTCATTGGAGCTTTTTTCAAAGCTGCATGGGACATAATAAAAGATGACCTTCTAGCAGCAATTATATCCTTCATGCACCTCAACACCTCGCAGTTAGCTGACTTGAATTTAGCCTATATCTGTCTTATCCCACAGAAAGATGATGCTTCCGGTGCTGAACACTTCTGTCCCATTAGCCTCATCCACAGCTTTGCCAAAATTATTGCCAAGATCATGGCAAACAGACTAGCCCCTCGGCTCAACGAAATGATTTCCCAAAATCAAAGCGCTTTTGTTCACAAAAGAGCAATTCATGACAACTTCCTTTATGTGCAAAACATGGTAAACCTGCTTCACAGGACAAAAAAAACAAAGCTTGTTCATCAAGATAGACATAGCGAAGGCTTTTGACACTGTGAACTGGTCCTACCTCCTAGAGATCCTTCGACAATTTGGTTTTGGTAATCGATGGTTAAATTGGATCGCTAATCTTTTCTCTACCTCCACATCCCAGGTGCTCTTAAATGGGTCCCCAGGGCAAAAAATCAACCATGCCAGGGGCCTGCGACAGGGTGATCCGCTATCCCCAATGCTTTTCATCTTGGCTATCGAACCTTTTCATCGAATTCTAAAAGAAGCAGAAAATGTTAATGTCCTCGCTCCCCTTGGGGTAAGAAATGGAAGATTCAGATGCTCACTATATGCTGACGATGTTGCGGTTTTTGCAAGCCCGAACCAAGAAGATTTGTCAGCCCTTTCACATATTCAGGTATGCTTTGCGCAAGCATCTGGGCTACATACAAATATCAACAAAACTGAAATCTACCCCATCAAATGCGAAGACATTGATCTGCAAAATCTTCTTGTTGGATGGCCGGGCCAAATAAAACAATTCCCCTGCAGATACCTTGGCCTACCTCTTCATCTCGGAAAACTAAGGAAAATTGATTTCCTTCCTTTAATAGACAAGATTGGGTCTAGACTGCCAGGTTGGAAAGGGCGACTATTCACTTCTGCCGGACGTCAAGCCCTAGTTTCATCTATTCTAAGTGCTATGCCAACTCATCATCTTACTGTCCTACAAGCTCCAAAGTGGGTTTTCAAAAGAATTGATCGTTTCAGGAGATCTTTTCTATGGAAGGGTGAAGATCCAGACCATTCAAACCCGGGAGATAGTCTGATCAACTGGCAAACCGTATGTAAACCAAAGGGTCTGGGAGGTGCTGGTCTTCTCGAACTAGAGCATTTTTCCAGGGCATTGCGCCTTCGTTGGTTATGGTTCAATTGGAAGGATGAAGAAAAGCTTTGAGTGGGCATGTGCCTGCCTTGTGATGATTCTGACCATAGGCTCTTTCAAGCTGCAACGACTATTGCGGTTGGAAATGGCGCCAAAACAAGATTCTGGCATGACATCTGGCTTCAAAATCGCTGCCCAAAAGACATTGCACCAAGATGCTTTAGTTTGGCAAAGAGAAAACAAAGATCTGTGCAAGTTGAACTCACAAACAATAAATGGCTAACCTCTTTCAGACAGTTTACTTCAGTGGAGGAAATTCATTAGCTTGTACATCTAGGAGGCTTAATTCATATGGTTTTGCTATCCCAAGAACCGGATAACATTACCTAGAATTGGACTGATTCCGGTACCTACACAGCCAGAAGTGTGTATCTTTACCAGTTTGAAGGATCCTTTGGTAAACTCGATTACCTTTCACTCTGGAAGTCCCCGGCGGAGCCCAAAATGAGATTCTTTGGATGGCTAGTCCTTCATCAAAAAACTCTCACCGCGCAAAATTTACTTCGAAGACATTGGCCATGTAATTGGATTTGCTGCCTTTGCACTTGCGCCTTCGAAGACACAAACCATCTGTTCAGTGAATGTGTTTTTACCAGGCAAACTTGGAGTCTAATCTGCCAGTTCCAAAACCTGACCCCTTTAACCTCCTCACACCCCCCCCCCCGACGTTGAAACTTGGTGGAATGGAACCAACCATTCGGGAAGCAAAGTTCAAATGCAGGTTATCAGAGGCTCGCTACTAACTACTTGGTGGAACATCTAGCTAGAAAGAAACAGAAGAATTTTTCAAAATTCTTGCCTCTCAGTAAATGATGTAGCACACCTTATCAAGCAAGATTTAGATTTGCGCAAATTAGCTTTCAAGCCCCCCTGATTTGCTTTACTTCTTAAGCTGTATTTCATCTCTTTTACAGCCCCTGTAAACTCGGTAAACTCTTTGCTGGGCTTCGGCCTTTTTCCCTAATTTAAATTCCGGCAGAACTCCTGCCGTCATTCTTCTCAAAAAAAAATCAGCGGGGTGAGCGATCGAACCGAGAGCGATGGCGAAGCCGCGAAGGTGGCCATCTCCCAGTGGTCAGCCCTCCTCCGCACCGCTTCTGGCGGAGAAGGGGAGGTCCGCCGCCGGCGGTGGCGTCGGCGGAGGAGAGGCGCTGCGTCTGTACTACAAGCGGCGCATCCGTGTGTTCAGCATCCGTGTATATGATTTCTATGTTCAGCATCCGTGTGTTTCGCGCTGTTGGATGAAGTAGTAATGGTCTAACAGCCTCTTTTTTTCTTTTGTATTGAGATTACTAGCGACTTAGCAAACATATTTCTGTGATTGTATACGGTAAATTTGTGCTTTTGTACATAATGTACTCCTCTTCTTCCTTGTGATTTCGGCGTTGCAGTTAGGATGTTGCGGGAAGAGTTGCAGCTGCTTCAAGACGTTTCAGATGATGATGGCTTTTTCAAGGTTATTGCCAAGTTCAACGTTCCACTGAAGGTACACATCCCTTTCTTTCTTACCTTTTCTTACTATATAGTGCCCATCAGTTTTGCTTTGGGCATAATTTGGAAAAACATATATGTTTTGCTAGTGAACCCTTTGTTCTTTGTTTTAGTCTGATCATGTATGCATATATTTTTAAATTTGGATAGAATCTGTGCTTTCTTTCGGCATCATCCGAAAGTGAGCTGAGCTATACAGAAATATGATATGCTGAAAGTAAATAGCCATGTTGTTTTTCTCCCTATGTAATCTGCAGATGCGATCATTAGTAATCAGTGAATTAAGCAGGAACCTGTCACGCCAGAAGCTACTACATCATCTTCTTGCGTGAAGAAAAGGTTCAAGCCAAGTGGACCGTCTGATACAGGTCGGCCCAAGCGAGAGAGACGCGACAATCTGCGTGTGAAGGGAAAGGATTGGGTCCAGTAGTGTGCCTGAGTCTATAAATAGGAAGCCCATGTGTGTGTGGAGGATTAAACTGTATTGAAACAATATTCTCTCTGAAATCCCAGAATCCTTTCCCCCTCTCTCCAAGTCCGAGTTCTTCGCTGTTCTAACCCAGTTCTTTCCAATTCTAACTCTGAAACTTCCTATCTCTCTTTCCCTCTCACGATTGCTCGTAACATCTTGGTATCAGAGCCGTTTCCATCCCGGAGAAGCCAAAGTTTCAGACTCGGTTGCAACTTCAAGTGGACGCCATGGAGAAGCAAGCTGGGGAATTCGAGAAGATGCTCGAGGGAATCCAGAACGCCATCGACGCCGTGGTGTTGAAGCAGGACGAGACACAGGCGGTGGTGCTCAAGTTGGATCAAGCGATGACCAGTCGGCGACCACAAGTGGATGCAGCAGTCAAGGGACTTCGAGCTAAGATGAACGAGCTGAAGAATCAAGTGGTGATCCTGGAAAAATTTCGCGGCGAGTTTGGCAATTCGTCGAACATGTCGCGTGTAGTAGCTTCATCAGCACAGAGGCGGAGCGACGAGGTTGATAGACCTCTTCCTCTGCTTCCCACGCCCGCGTCGTTCATCGCATTAACGTCGGCTGGTGATTCGGGCCCAGATGTCCACCGCGTTGCCACAAATCACCGGGGGAAAGCACTGGGAGTTGTTACTCCTTCTGTGCTACCTCCGGTCACGGGTACGACCTGTTCTCCTTTTAATTCTCGTTCTGCTATGGATTCTTTTTCTCGGGATGAGATTGGAGTTTCGGAGGAGCGGGGTTATAATCATCGGGTGCCGAAGTTGGATTTTCCACAGTTTGATGGGGTGGATCCGCAGAATTGGCGTATGAGATGCGAGCATTATTTTGGGGTTTATGGTACTCATCCTATGCTTTGGGTTCGTGTGGCCACCATTTTTTTCATGGGAAGAGCAGCATCGTGGTTGCGTTCTTCAAAGGCTCATTTGCGTTTTGGGGAGTGGACTGAATTTTGTTTAGCAGTGGATAGAAAATTTGATCGTGATAGGCATCAGATGTTAATTCGTCAGATAGAGCAGGTTAAGCAAATGGGGTCGGTGGAAGAGTTTTATGAGCGATTTGATGATTTGATGAACCAGTTGCTAGCCTATGATCCTATGTACAATCCTCTTACGATTGTGCATAGGTTCACTGAGGAATTACGATCTGAAATTCATCATGCTGTTATGTTACAACGACCCCGCGATCTCGAGACTGCTCTTGCCGTTGCTTGTTTACAGGAGGAATGGTTGGAAACTCAGAAGCCGAAGGAATTTCGCAAAGTGGGGGATAATGTGCAGCATGTTAAGGGAGCTTATCCATTGCCTTTACCACCATCAAAAGTGGAATCATCTCCATTGCTGCTAAATTGTCTTCTGAATCTATCAAGTCCAATTTAATTACTGACAAGGTGCGGGCACTCAAGGCTTTTCGGAGAGCACAGGGCTTATGCTATTTGTGTGCAGATAAATGGTCTCCATCTCATAAATGTTCAGGCTCTGTGCAATTGAATGCTGTTCAGGAAGTGTTTGCGATTCTTCATCAAGATGACAGTGACAATGGTAATTCTTCATCTGATGAACTTGATACTACTCCTTTGTTGGCATTGTCGGTTCATGCTATTCAGGGCACTACTGTGGCTCAAACAATGCACTTGCAAGATGTTATTCAGGGTTATGCTGTGCTTATTCTAGTGGATTCAGGCTGTTCTTGCAGTTTTATCAGTTCATCTGTAGTTTCTCATTTGTTAGATCTGTTACAGTTGCATGTATTTTTTCAAGTAAAGGTGGCTAATGGGCAAACACTTCAATGTCAGTCTGAATTGGCTAGAGTACCTTGGTCAATTCAAGGTCAACAATTTACTTCTACTTTGAAAGTGTTGCCACTTCAAAGTTATGATATGATTTTAGGGATGGATTGGTTGGAACAATATAGTCCCATGGATATTGATTGGCAACAGAAAATTATAAGATTTCATATGGATGACCAGCTAGTGACTTTATGTGGAGTGGTTCCATCTGTGGCTTCTGATTCAGTATTATCTGCTATTGAGTTACATCAACTTCACTTGTCGGGATCCATTGAAGGATTGGTTCGGTTACAGGCTTTGGAATCAGAAGGAAGTCAGTCCATGCCAATTCCTGCTAACATTCAGCAATTGTTACAAGAATTTGCTGCTGTGTTTGACGAACCGCAAGGACTTCCACCAACTCGTGATTGTGATCACACCATTCCTTTAATTCCAGGAACTCAGCCTGTTAACGTTCGGCCATATCGATACACTCCTTTGCAAAAAGATGAAATCGAGAGACAAGTTGCTGACATGCTAGACAGAGGTATCATTAAACATAGCTCCAGTCCTTTTTCTTCACCGGTTCTTTTGGTTAAAAAGAAGGATGGTTCATGGCGGTTTTGTGTTGATTATCGTCATCTCAATGCTTTAACAGTCAAAAACAAATATCCTTTGCCTATAATCGATGAGTTATTGGATGAGTTAGCTGGTGCATGTTGGTTTTCTAAATTGGATCTTCGTTCGGGTTATCATCAAATTCAAATGCATCCTAATGATGAACACAAAACAGCTTTTAAGACACATCATGGTCATTTTGAGTTTCGCGTTCTTCCTTTTGGTCTTACTAGCACTCCGGCTACATTTGAAGGTGTGATGAACTCTGGTTTGGCCACACATCTGCGCCAAAGTGTCCTAGTTTTTGTGGATGACATTTTGGTATATAGTCAGACTTTGGCAGATCATGAATTGCATTTGAGCTGTGTCTTGCAAATTCTGACTGAGCATCAGTTGAAAGTCAAACAATCTAAGTGTTCCTTTGCTCAACCTCAATTAGCTTATTTGGGACATGTGATTAGTGCTCAAGGTGTGGCTACGGATGAAGAGAAAATTGTGGCTGTCAAAAATTGGAACACACCATCTTCAGTCAAAGAATTACGGAGTTTCTTAGGTTTATCAGGATACTATCGCAAATTTGTGCGTAATTATGGCATCATTTGCAAACCTTTGACTGATTTGTTGAAGAAAGGACAGTTGTTTGTTTGGACATCAGTTCATGAGGAAGCATTTCTTACTCTAAAATCAGCCTTGATATCAACCCCAGTTCTAGCTATGCCAGATTTTCATAAACAATTTGTCGTTGAAACTGATGCATCTGACAAAGGAATCAGTGCAGTTTTAATGCAAGTTGACCTTCCTGTTGCGTTCTTGAGTAAAGCTCTTGGTCCTCGCGCACAGTGTCTTTCCACATATGAAAAAGAAAGTTTAGCTATTATGTTGGCTGTGGATCACTGGCGTTCCTATTTACAACATGCAGAATTCGTTATTAGGACAGATCATCGCAGTTTGGCTTATTTGGAGAATCAGCGTTTGTCTACAACTTGGCAACAAAAGGCACTCACCAAGTTGATGGGCTTGCGTTATCGCATTGTATATAAAAAAAGGTTTGGAGAATAATGCTACAGATGCTCTGTCTCGCCAATTGCCGGCCCATACTGTTGAGGTTTCTGCTTTGTCGGTCAGCATTCCTTCCTGGCTTCAGGATGTTCCTTCAGGTTATGTCACTGACCCTGATACCCAGTGTATTCTCAAATCCTTGGCAAACAATGGGAAGCATCATGCTAATTTTGAGTTGCAGTCTGAGATTCTGTACTTTAAGAAACGAATTTGGATTGGCGATAATATTCCTTTGCAGCAACAGATTCTAGCAAATCTTCATACTGCTGCTGTAGGTGGTCATTCAGGGAATTTGGCCACTTATCAGAGGGTGAAACAGTTGTTTGCTTGGCCAGGTTTGAGACAATCTGTTCACTCATTTGTTCAGACTTGTGATATTTGTCAAAGAGCAAAATCTGAACATGTTAAATTGCCTGGTTTGCTGCAACCTTTGGAGGTTCCTGATCATGCTTGGCAGATCATCTCGATGGATTTTATCGAACGTCTGCCATTATCAGCTTCTTGCAATGTGATCTTGGTCATCGTTGACAAGTTTTCCAAGTTTGCACATTTTTTGGCACTTCGACATCCTTACACAGCTTTGTCAGTCGCTCAACTGTTCATGGATCAGGTGCATTGTATTCATGGTTTGCCTTGTGCTATTATATCTGATCGGGATCGCGTGTTCACTAGTGCATTGTGGAAAGAATTGTTCAGGAGGGCTGGTACTCAATTGCGCATGAGCTCATCATATCATCCTCAAACTGACGGACAAACGGAACGTGTGAATCAATGTCTCAAAACATTTCTTCGTTGTTTTGTTCACACTTGTCCACGGCAATGGAAACATTGGTTGGGCCTTGCTCAGTTTTGGTATAACTCTTCATATCACTCTGCTATTGCTATGACTCCTTTTGAAGCTCTTTTTGGTCATAAACCTTCGTATTTTGGGTTATCCATTGCCTCTGTTGATGCTCCAGATAGTTTGGCAGCTTGGCTGACAGATCGTAATAATATGAGTGCTTTGATTCATCATCATTTACTCCGAGCTCAACAGCGTATGAAACATCAAGCAGATTTGCATCGCTCTGAAAGATCGTTTGCTGTTGGGGATTGGGTGTTCTTAAAGCTGCAACCCTATGTTCAACAATCTGTCATGACACGGGCTAATCGGAAGTTGTCCTTTAAGTTTTATGGACCATTTCAAATTGTTCAGAGAGTTGGCAGTGTGGCTTACAAGTTGAATCTACCTGTCACTAGTCTCATTCATCCGGTTGTTCATGTCTCACACAACTCAAGAAAGCATTGGCTCCAGCTGAAAAAGTGCAGCCATCTCTTCCTACTTTGAATTCTGAACTTGGTCAATTTGCTGTTCCTAATAAGGTGCTGGACCGATGTCTTCGATAGAGGGGTGCCAAACTTATTGAACAAGTTCAGGTTGAGTGGGTTGGTGCATCTTCTCCAGCCATTACTTGGGAAAATTTCGAGGAGTTGCGTCACAAGTTTCCGGCAGCGCCAGCTTGGGGTCAAGCTGGTTCTCAAGAAGGGAGGAATGTGACGCCAGAAGCTACTACATCATCTTCTTGCGCGAAGACAAGGTTCAAGCCAAGTGGGCCATCTGATACAGGTCGGCCCAAGCGAGAGAGACGCGACAATCCGCGTGTGAAGGGAAAGGATTGGGTCCAGTAGTGTGGCTGAGTCTATAAATAGGAAGCCCATGTGTGTGTGGAGGATTGAACTGTATTGAAACAATATTCTCTCTGAAATCAAGTCCGAGTTCTTCGCTGTTCTAACCCAGTTCTTTCCAATTCTAACTCTGAAACTTCCTATCTCTCTTTCCCTCTCACTATTGCTCGTAACAGAACCTTCAAGAACTGCTATGTGTACACTTCATATGGCATATTATTTGTTTCATTTTCATTTTCATACTCAAGACAGCAGAGAGCGGAGAGAACTATGATCGCTGGAAACGGCGGATGGCTGAACTACAAGAGGCAAGAGGCTAGCAACAAACAGGTAACTGCGCGGCTCCGTGGCAATGGCGGCATTGGCTACAGCGAGAGCGGGGCGCATCGCTCGGCGAGAAGCGACACCATGGCCAGCGCAGCGCCGAGCAGCCGCAGGAGGAGCACGACGAGGACGGTAGGGCTCGGCGTGGACAGGCATTGCAGCGTGAAGGTACAGCCAGAGCCGAGCTGGAGGAGGAGCAGCAGCAGCAGCCGCTGGTGATTGCAATGGCGCGGCGACGATGCTTGTGGTGGTTGATGCGGGATCAGGATCCTCTGCAGTCAATGCACCGTGCTTTTGTCACTGACATGTGGGCCCGATGTGTCGTCGGACCCATATATTAGTGATAAAGGCATGGTGAAGTCGATTGCAGAGGATCTCAATCTGGTTGATGCATCCGAGATAGCGCATTGCCTCGTATAGTGGTAGATCCAGAAAAAAATTCAGGGTCTAAGTAAATCTTATTTTATCATGCGTTTTACTATAAATAAATTGTTTTTAACTTATCGAAAAAATTCAATTTCTATTGCACGTTTACCCAATGATCCTGTGCCTCGTCGGGTCACCGGGCTGTAGATCGGCCGCTGGCCCTCGTGCCCCTCATCTGCCATAGCTGCAGGCAGCGCTTGTGTGGCTATTGAGTTAATAGAGTGTTGCCCGAAATAGCTAAACTTGGGATTGGACACTTTTGAATAATTAAATTACAGTTGTGCTCAGAATAAGTGTAAAAAATACAAAATGTACTCATGCTTATCCGTTCTTTTTCACGAACGCGTAAAAAGATTGCACGTCAATATATTAGAAGAAAAAAAATTTGATATACAACGCAATTTCATACGACATATAAACGCAATCAGCGGGAGGGGACAGAACCACGCTAGACACTGCTTGTCCGCTCCATTATGCATTTACCCTTGGCTTGTTCGGTTCATCATCTTGTGGCTGTGGTTGTAGCTGTATCTACAGTGACTTGTAGAAA